TTAGGTTCTTTGCCCATTTTTTGATTGGATTGTTTATCCTTCTTTTGTTAAGTTGTATGTGTTCCCTGTAAATTTTGGAGTTTAAACCCTTATTGAAGGGAACATTGGCAAGTATGTCCTCCCATGCAGTGGGCTTTCTTGTTGTTTTGTTGATGATTTCTTTTGCTGTGCAGAAGCTTTTTAATTTGATGTAGTCCCATTTGTTTATTTTCCCCTTAGTTTCCATTGTCCTAGGAGCCGTATCAATAAAGATATTGCTATGACATGTCTGCTATTTTGCTGCCTATGGCTTCTTCTAAGATATTTAGGGTTCCCGTGTGTATGCGGTGAGAAACAGAGTCCCCGCGTGTGCACGCCGAGAGTCAAGTCACTGGTGCGCAGTGTGGCCTCTGGCGCCGAGAATCAGGGTCCCCGATCTGCTTGGGGGGCTGGGTTACATAGCTTCCATGTGTCGTGCGCCGCCGGAGACAGACTCCCCGTGTGCCTGCGCCCAGAGTCAAAGTCAGGAAGCACAGCCGCCCTGCATCGACAGGAGGCCTGCTTGCGTGCTGCAGGAAACAGATTTCCCTTGTGTGCGCACGTGCCCAGGGTCAAAGGGTCAAAGTCAAGTCGCACAGCCGCCCTGTGTCGGCAGGAGGCTTGCTGGCGCACCGTGGGTCTAGCACAGGGGTGGGCAAACTTTTTGACTCGAGGGCCACAATGGGTTCTTAAACTGGACTGGAGGGCTGGAACAAAAGCATGGATGGAGTGTTTGTGAAAACTAATATAAATTCAAAGTAAACATCATTATCATTACATAAAAGGGTACGGTCTTTTTTTCAGTAGTTTTATTCATTTCAAACGGGCCGGATCTGGCCCACGGGCCGTAGTTAGCCCACGGCTGGAGCAGGTTCTGTTCTGCTGCAGCGAGCTGACAGGGAGGGGATTGGGCTCTGTGACACAGAAATCTGCGGCCTGGATGTCTGTAGTCTTGGTGTCTGTGGGTCTGCTGCTGTGGGAGCAGGTCTTTGTCCCAAGTGGCTGTAGGGTCCCAGTTTGCGTCTGAGGCCAGACTGCATGGTGGTGAGACTCGGATCCTAGTCGCAAGCAGTTCTGCCCTTCAAGATGGCCTGGTTTCTGTGCAAGCACTGGCCAACCCCGTGGCAGTGGTAGCGGGGTTTCTCAGTCACCAATATATTTCACCAATATGTGGAATTAAAGTTAGCCATTATAGTGGGTTTGTAGGGATATCTTATTATTTAAAATTTCTATTTCCCTGATAACTAATGGTGTTGAGCATCTTTTTATTTACTTACTTAATGGTCATTTGTATATTTTCTTTTGTGAAGTGTCTGTTCAAACCTTTTGTCCACTTCCTTAACTGAGTTGTGTCCGTACTGACTTTAAGGGTTTTTAAAAAATATATTTTAGATTCAAATCCAGATATTTCCCGTCGCTTGCCTCTTCCATTTTCTTCCAGTGTTTTTAGAAGAGCAGGAATTTTAGTTTTGATGAAGTGTAATGTATCAGTTTTTCTTTAATAGTTTGTGCTTTTTATGTTTTAATTAAAAAATCTTTGCCAAACCAAAGGTCACAAAGATTTTCTTTTTTTTCCTTTCTGAAAATTTGTAATTTTAACTCTTAAATTCATGTTTATGACTCTTTCAGAGTTTGTATTTGTATATAGTGTGAGAGAAAGATTTTTGGTTTTTCTTTCTAACAAGAGGGGAAGGAAAGATGGCATATGGGTGTCCAATTATTCTAGCACCGTTTGTTGAAAAGACACTCCTTTCCCTCATTGAACTACCTTGATACTCTGTCAGAATTAATTAAATTTATATTTGTGGGTCTATTTCTGGAGTCTCTGTTATGTCTATTGCCTAATCTTATGTCAGGTCCACATTGTCTCGATTACTGTGGTTTTATTAGATAAATCTTGACCTCAGTATAAGTTCTCAAACTTTTTCTTTTTTCAAATTGTTTTGGTTATCCTGGTAACTGTGCATTTCTTTCTTTTTTTCTCTTTCCTTTTAATCTTTATTGTTGAAAGTATTACATAGGCCCTTCTTTTCCTCCCATTAACCTCTTCCGGCCCGCTCCTATCCTCATCTCCCCCACCGCCCAGGCCCTCACTACCCATTGTCTGTGTCCACAAGTTATGCATCCTTTGCACTTCTTTATAAATATTAGAATCAGCTTGTCAGTGATTGGGATTTTGATTGAGATTCTACTGAATCTATAGATCAGTTTGGGGAAATTGACTTAACAATTCTTAGTTCTTCAATCCATGAACATAGTATAGCTCCATTTATTTAATTTTTGTGTGAATTTCTCTTAACAGTGTTTCATAGTTTTTAGTGTACAGGTCTTGCACATATCTAATTGTTTATCCCTAAATTCATGTTTAATTTTATTATAATTGTGTGTTTTTTACCTCATTGCCTCCAGGCTATGCCTCCAGAGGGAATGCTTTCAGTAGTCTTAACCATTAAGTGTTGTGATGTTAACTGTGTGTTTTCATAGATCCCCTTTGTCTAATTGAGGAAGTTTCTTTGTGTTCCTAGTTTGCTGAGATTTTGTGTTATTAATGTTCTTAAATATAAATTGTGATTTTGGGCTTATTTGCTTAGATACATGTACAGAAGCAAAGAGCTTATTCGAAGTAAGAGAGAGAGTATTCGAAAGTTGAAGGAGGAAGTGAAAGTCCTGCAGCAAAAACTGGAAAGGTAAGTTATGGATAACTCTGTGCTTATAAATATAAGAGTAGAACATTAAAATCAGATAATTTGTTTATATTTAAAAACTAGAGGCCCAGTGCACAAATTCATGCACAGGTGGGGTCTCTTGGTCTGGCCTGTGATTGGGGTTGTCTTGCTCAGTCCTAATCAGGACTGGCTAGCCTGGGGGAGAGACTTAAGAGTTTGGCCGGCCGTGGGAAGTTGGCTATGAGAGTGCATTGACCAGCCAGCCAGCTCGGGGAGGGACCGTGAAAAGTTGGCCAGCCGCAGGAGGTTGGCTGTGGGAGCCCACTGACCACCAGGGGGCAGCTCCTGCGTTGAGCGTCTGCCCGCTGGTGGTCAGTGCACATCATAGCAACTGGTCATTTGGTCGACCAGTCATAATGGTCACATAGA